TAAGGATAAAGTGCCATAAGGCTGCATAAAGTGCCAGCTCACATTGACCTGACTGGAGAGACAGAAGTGATTGTGCCTTAGTGTGTGAGCCTCTCTCTGTTTGTTTTAAATACCAAGTTTGCAAAATCAACATAAATAGGAGCTACTTCCACTCTTGTAGTTCAAAGCATTCTCATAGTGTTTGTAAGTGCTAACGAACAATGATCAGAGGAAGCAGAATCCAGTCTTCCATCGACTTGCACATTTTAGGTTATGAGATGCTCAAGCTTGTGTTTTGTAAACAAGGTCTAGAAACTCCTCTGCATACTTGTATTTTGGACTATAGCAACCTTTAGAAGAAAAGATCTAATTGTGCCTGGATTTATTTTACAAACTGGGGCCGTTTCAGCAATCTGTGTGGCCTTCCATTCAGTTGTTTGTTTAAGCCAGGCCAAAAGCCACTTATCTAAAGATGATTTATTCTCACTCTTGAGCTGACAGAGCCAAGCTGGGAAGGGTGAAAACTGAGTTGTAGGGTTTAGTATGAGCCCCCACCAGTCAAAACCATAAGGGAAGCTTTGAGCACTGTCTATTACATTGTTCTGGAAGGTACTTGCAAGTCTTGTGCCTTGCTTGTAGGACACCTTTTTTAAAATAAACAGCAGTGGTATGTATGTGATTGACTCAGATTTGAACTTTGCAGCTGTTCCTTCCTATCTGTATGGTATGCCAGAGCAAAACTCTCTCTCTAGCTCAACATCTCTAAGATCAAAACTTTTACTCAAATATTATAATTTGGATCAGCTTCTGACTTCTTGGTTTTGGCAGTGTGAGCAAAATGGAGACAAGTGTGTTTCTTTATCTAGTTCAGAAAATTAGATGTTATTTATTTCCTTAACATATAGCAATGTTTTGTAGTAAAAGGCAACAGCTAAATATTCTTAGTGACATATGTGGAACTTGAGGCATAATATCTGGCTGTCAGAGTTGTTCGTTAGACTAAAGGAACCAAAATATACGTTTGTTTTTTTGTTTTGTTTTGTTGTTTTTTTTTTTTTTTTTTTTTTTTTTGTATATTTTTTTCTCCCCTTCATTCAGGAACTCAGTTTTATCTTCATTGGATGCTGTTAGGATCTAACATCTTCTAACTGCTAAACTTCACTAAATGCCAAGATTGACCATGAGCATGGTTGAGGGAACACAGGGTAAATGAGACTGATGGTGAAGGGGTGAAGTTTCCAGATATGTTAACATCAGCATTGAAAACCAACTGTAGGTCCTTTTGCCCCTTGTTCATGCTGCAGCATCAGTTTGCTGCTGCCTTAGTGGTTTTGGAAGGGTACAGTACGAACTGGTTGGCTGAAATGAACCACATTTTAAAACACCTTTCCCCTCAAAAAAACAAGCAAGCAAACAAACAAACAAACAAACAAACAAAAAACACAAAACAAACAAAAAAAAACAATGCATGTTTAACTCAGAGAGCTTTTGTGGTGCATCCAAGAGCTGTAGTGGCTAACTGAGGAGCTGGTGGTGGGGTGGGGTGACTGTTGGGACCCAACCCAACCCAACTACACACTGCACTAAATAACTCACCCCCACAGATGAAGAACATGGCCGTAAAAACAGGGGCACGCCCCAAAGAGTAGGGGGTGATCCTAAAACAGGGAGTCTGCTTCCTCAACGAGTATTGATTTGAGTGAGTTTATACCAGTGGGGTTAAACAACCGTTGTATATTTTGAATATGGGCTGTCAAAACAAATATTTTGACAGTCACTCAGAAGTGGATGTTGAGTGGCGTGCTGTGAAGAACATGCAGTTCTATCATGGAAAAAACTCGTCAAGGTCTGGGAAACTGAGAGGAGGAATAAACAGCCAGTTTTCAGCCTGAAAATAGACTAGCTTGAACTTCTGTGAAGCAAAAATGGGAGAAAAAGGGGTGAGCAGCATGCTGGAGGGCAGCTTCACGAAGCACAGTTATTTAATGCAGTGTGTAGCTGGAGAGAATTTGGTGTACGGTGCACGCATTTTGTTGGAGTCATTGAAGAAATGGGTAAATTCATTTGGAAAGTCAAGGTGGTGCATGTAGGAAGGAAAAGGTTGACTCCACAAGCATGACTGAACTGTGAATTATTTCCAGTGCTTCATCTGCAACCTTTCTCTGCCAAGTCTCACGAGTAAGAAATGCCCCCTGCCCCTCCTCTGACCTGTGCACTGTATTCCTTGCATGTTTTTGTCCTCTTCCTTATAAAAGGAGGTGTACAGGACTGGCAGTCACGTTCAAGATTACCACTAGTGCAAGAACTAATTTACGCAGGTGCTCTCCTGTGAATAATCATGGGTGTCTCTGGAGATGCTTTTCATACCAGAATAAAGTGGTAGTTACTTAGGAAAAGCTGAGTTCTGAACGTTTTATTTGAAAGCTAAGTATGTGCTGTTGAACTGTCATTATTGGTGACACTTACTAACTTTCACATGCTTTGAAGTTTTGCTACGTAGCAGAACTGGGAAGTTTGAGTTCCAGTGAAGTCCAGAGATTTGGCACTGCTTCCACACCATTTTTACCAGGCAGTTCTACTCATGCAGTGACTTTTCTGGAGGTACTTTGTTTTAAAATGCTACCACAATGTATTTTTGAGCTTGCATTTCAAATGGAAAAGAATGTAATGGCGTGAATTCTTCCTCCTGGTTCTAACCATGCATTCAACATTTGCTATCAGAAACATGTCTTTATGACTTCCTGTGTTCATATTAAGTTTCTATGTACATACTTAAATACACATGAACTTTGTTCTCCTCTACATTCAATAAACTGTATTTTATTATTTTATGTGGGTACAGGGTGAGTTATAAGAGCTGTGATAGGTGTTCTGCTGCTGTCCTTTGCACCTTGATTAAAGCAGATTTAATTAGAAAGATGAGGATTTAACACAGGAGCAGTGCTTGCACAAAAATACAGATTCTAGGGCTTTTTGGAACTTTTCTTAAAAATAAAGATGTTTTTTATTAAATTCTCTTTAATTGTGCCGCTGACATCAGAAGAATGTATGCTTTTCTTACATTCCAGTTATTATTTAAAGTGGAAATACTGAGAGAATTAACTTTTTTTTGGCAGTCTGACACTTCAGTTCTCTGTTATTACAAAGGGTGTATTCGAGTCATCTGTATGTCAGGTTGCTTGAAAACTTCATGATTTTCCCAGATTTTCCAGGGAAAAAACATAAAGTGAGCAGAGCTATTATCACAGCACAGCTAAAGCACAACTAAGTATGTTTTGCCTTTTCCTAACATGTAGTTTAGTAAGTTTTCATAATTAACCTAATAAAGCCTATGAAATTATTTGTCTGATTGCCAGATGTGCACTCTTTTTGGTGCTTTCTGATGTCTTTCTCTAGTTGGCTAGTGGCAATAGAGAGGCTGAAAGCTGTAGATTGTGCCCGCTCTTCTAAGCACTATGTAGAATACCAGGAAGAAGCAGGAGCATCCATCAGAAAAAGAGGCAGTGTGGTAACAGTGAACTAAGGGTGGCAAAATCCAGTTGTTGGTGTGGTAGCTAAGCTCCATACATCCTCAAGTCCCAGAGGAATCTACAAAGAGATCTAGATAAAGAAGAAGAGTAATGTGGATAAGATCTTATGTATAAATCACTACTCCTAGTGTAGGACAGAGTAAAAATGGCTGGATTAAATTCTGAATCTGTTGAAATTGTGTATTTTTTTTTAGTTTTGCATTCAGTGGGACTAAGATTCAACCACTGAACTCAAAAACTCCTAAGAAATTGAACACCAACTCACTTGCTCTTTGACAAAGCTAAAAAAAAAAAAAAGAGCAAAGGAAGGGAATGTCTGTTTTTCTGCTATTTGCTGAGCCCTTTATATTTGGCAGAGGTGTAGTAATGAGGCACTGTTTTGCTTCTCATTCTTTTGCCTTTGGTTGAATGCTGGTATGCTTTTTTTTGTGTGTGTGAGTAAAACTTGAAAGTGCCGTGCTCCCATCGCTGAGGGGATAACATGAGTGCATTTCCTGTTCTCCCCCTTTTTCCAAGTGACACATTTTGAGTTCAAGCACAGAGGCATGTGTGTTGATCCATCTGTTATTTTAAGGAAGATATTTGGATCCGAGTTAGAAGTGTAATGATCTCCGATTGCCTCTTGTACCAAGATAAGTATAGCTCTGGGAATGTCATCAGCTACTGTTCAAAGGCAGCAGAAAGGGAAGGCCCTTGGGGAATATCTTGCTGTAGTCCCAGCCCACAGAGGGCTGCAGGAGGGGTGGATGGAGGGCATGAAGGAGCCTGTAGCAGACTGGCAAACCAGGTCACCAGGACATTTTTCCACAGATTTCCATTAGCAGTAGTGCAAGTCACCCTGAGGCTGCCAGTCTCAGCATCCATTCGCAATGAGACGCGACAGGCCTGCTGGCAGCTCACTGCTGCAAAATCCTGGCTTTAAAGCAGGAGGACCTCACAGTGCACCAGTTCTGCAACACCGTCCCTCGGGTCCAGGCTCTGTCCCTGTGTTACCACCGCATCCCAGCAGGCAGGGGCTGTCCCCGAGGGGCTCCCCGCAGTGCGCCCTGTGCCTCCTGCCCAGATCCCCGGCAGGGCAGGGCAGCCGTTCAGCCCAGCTGCGCGGCTGCAAAACCGCTTAAACACGTACGAGAGCTCTGCTGGGTCGCTGCCAGCAACCTTGGTAATTTCAAGCAGAGGAAGATGATGTGGGCGTGCTGGGGGGAGTGGGTGGGACGGTTCGACTGCGGAGACCTCGCTTGCAGACAGACACAGGGCCACGGTGGGACGGGACCGAGCAGATAGTAGCGTACGTACAGCCGGGCTGCGGGATATTTATCGCTCCCCTGGGATGAGACGGGGAGGTTTCCAGCAGGCTGTGTGTGACGGGCCCTTGTGAGAGCTTCAGTGTGTCGGTTTGGACCCGCACAAGATTCCAGCTTGTTGCTGGGATGTGTGGGGGTGGAGACGAAGGTTTTTTCTCTCTGATGATGTGGTCTCTCTCTCCTGTAGGTGTGTGATGTCAAACAGTGGGCAGTCCCTGCAGCCTGCCCTGCCAGCCCGGAGCGTCATGTGCCAGTATGAACAGTAAGAGAGAAAAGTGTACTTCAGCGTCTGAGAAAGAAAAAAAGAGGAACTAAACGGCGAGAACAAATGACCACACTGCTAGCAAAACTTTGAGCAGTTCACTTTTTCTCCTGAGAAATTTCATCTTGGCTGGTGTGAGAGAACTGAAAGAGCAAGCAGAGCCGCAACGGTGATTTCCTTAGGGTACCTTTTCTCTGCTTTAATTTAATTTTTTCCCCTTCGTGCCTGGATTTAAGACTGCCAACTGCACTGATCACAAGCACTGGACACCAATATGTGTCATGTCATTGTAACGTGTCGGTCGATGCTATGGACTCTTCTGAGTATTGTCGTGGCTTTTGCAGAGCTCATTGCTTTCATGAGTGCGGACTGGCTGATCGGCAAAGCCAAGCCACTGAGCTCTGAGGACATGGACAACAGAACAGGAGGATCACAGGAGCCCTACCATCCAACACTGGGCATCTATGGGCGCTGCACGCGAATCTCCCACATGCAGCTTTCTAGACGAGACACGCTTTGTGGTCCTTATGCCGAAAACTTCAATGAAATTGCCAGTGGGTTCTGGCAGGCGACCGCTATTTTCCTAGCTATGGGAATCCTGATCCTCTGCGCAGTGGCATTTGTGTCTGTTTTTACTATGTGTGTGCAGAGTATTATGAAGAAAAGTATTTTTAATGTCTGTGGACTGCTACAAGGGATTGCAGGTACGTGTGTTTTGAGAGCAACTAACAATTTTAATTTTTGTGCCACTCAGCTGGAGAAACATACCAATTCTGTAGTCCCTACAAGGAGATCTCATTAGACAGACCCAAAGCGATTCTATATGCTGGTGTTTATTCAAACACAGCTGAAATTTATAGCTACACAGCATGTAATACATTGACATTGGCAGCAGGATTGCAGCCTGTTGTGTGCCAAAATGAACTGACCAGTGTTTCTTTTGTTTGCTGTTCTGTGTTTTCCCTCTGCATGAATTTATTTCGGTAACAAAAACTTCTCTCCTTTGTTACCAGCAGAGAGCAAAGTTAATTCTCATGTTAAGGCAGTCCGTCTCTCTCTTGCTCCTTTAGTAACTTCTCCATAGACCCAAGGCTTTGCCAGGCTCTTCATGTCTGTGGTGAGAGCAAATGCCACCACCCCGGAGGTAGCAGCCTGCAGTCACACACCCTGTTCTCCGGGATTTCATGCTAAGCTGCTTCCCTCAAGGACATGAACTTTGACAAGTCATACTTGACAATAAACCCTTCCTTTGGCCAGCCTATTTGCTCAGCAGCAATTATGGAGCCCAGCGAGCTTTTCTTTTCCCTCTCCCCATTGTACTTTGCCTGAAAAGGTGGACTGGTTCTAGATATATCTTGTTTCTGTTGGACTGACAGGGATTAAGCGACCATAGCATGAACTGAAGCTGGAAAGGCCCAGCCAGACCAGCACTTGGCTTTCCACACTCTCTGTGAGCAGTGGGAGGCTTGTCCTGTGTGTGGGTGCCCACACAGCACAGCGAGTGTGTGGGGTGGTCAGAGGGAGAAGAGGGGTCCCCTGCTGATACCGACTGCCCCCAGAAACCTGTGGGGAAGGTGGGAGTGAGCAAAGCCACCTCTGCCTCCCCTCTTGGTGGTGCTCTTAACCACTTACTGAATTGAAATGACCTGTTTTCGGTAGACAAGAACCAGGAGTTTGGTCTTGTTTGCTGGAATAAGGAGTCCAGGTTTGCACCTGTACCGGTGCAGAACATGTTGGCCTCCATGTTGGTGTGCCTGGGCAGGTGGGGCAGGGCTGGGCGTTCGGGCCTGCGCGAGGCGGCTGCTCCCTCTGGGCTGCCCGAGTGCTGAAGCCATCTTTATGCACCACGGCCAATGCTGGATCCTAAAGCACTGTGGTGTTGGCTCTCGCCGTCCTCAGCTTCGTGCAGCTGCGGTGTGAAAGCGTACAGGTTGTTTGGTGTTACCCATAACCTAATGTTTGTGCTGTGGGGCCAGAGTTAGATCCCTTTGTTGGCTCATGCTGCTCAGGTGATGGCAGAGAATTAGCAGGTGGATGTCCTTTAAGAAAAAATTACATGTCTTGCCGCAATTCTTCCTGGGTTACAGAATTTGTCAGCACCCTTGAGACAAACAAGTGTCTTTGTAGTGTGAATTATAGCCAGTAGAAGGTTTTAGCTCCTTGCTTTCTTACCCTGTACTTCAGAAATAATCCATGAAACCTGTTCTTCAAGAGATTACATTACTTCTTTTCTGTTGGAGGTGTATTTGTGTGAGAGAGATCAGTTAGCGGCATTGAGTAAATCTTGGCTCATCGTACTTGGATCTGTTGAAAAGATAACCAGACTTATGGTTCTGATGCCATCTCAAGGAATCCGTGGACTGACATGAAAGCTAACAGCAAGTAGATTCTTATCATAGCGAGCTGTTCTGGAGACCATCTATTTGTGAGAAAATGTTTTAGGTTTTATTATCAGACCAGCTGTGCCTGTAAAGGGAGCCATTGAACAATATGGTAGACAAAACATTTCTTATATTTTAGAGGATAGAGAAGTCCTGTTTGAGCTGCACTGAGAATAGAAGCACTTCCCTTCTTATAATTCAGATAAATGACACAGCATGAAACTGGGTAATTGAAAGGTCACGTTACTGAAACTGTTGCTATGAGAAATATGCCTGCCAATATTTGCAGCCAGGCGTCTTGTGGCTAGCAACTCATTTTCTCAAGATTAATTTTATTGGGTCCACTGCTACTTTTGTGCCAGTAGCATTACAGCATCTGCTTACTTAGTTGAAAGTATTTTCCTTATGACTTATCACAGCTGTTAATTTCAACTTTCTCAGTCCCTGAGTTTTGGAAAACACTTAAGCATGTTGTAAGAAGGATAGCTGTCGGCATGGTTAATCCATATGAGGATTATGATATCTAGACTAATGCCCTGGCCGGAGAACAACTTGATACAGCCCTGCCTGATTGTTTTAAACTTAAAATCATTCTTTCAAATGTGAGTAATGTATTTATTTTTTTAAATAAGAGTAGGAAAAGAATTCACACAATCGTTTTGTTTATCAGTGTATATCAACCCAATATCTCTAAGTATGTCAAACATCTCATTTTCAAAGACAAGATGCACCCACAGTAGAGTCATCTACAGGAACTCAGGATCTTGCAGACTTAATCGCATTTAAAATCTCTATATCTTTGCTGTGGATATTTAATATAATTAAAAACATACACCAAGTTAATTTATTCCTGGAATTCATCATGAAAACACAAAAACAGATACCGGATATATCTTTTCTGTCTAGCAACATTGGTTGTGACCTGGATGATGCCTACAATGAAATTATAGAACAGAAAGCCACATCTTTTCTGCTACGGCCCTTGGACAAATGCGCAAACTCTCATTTAGGTCAGTGGGAAGGAGCCATGTACATATCTGGCCCACAGAGGGTTTTTGTTGTTGTTACTGAAAATTATAAATGCAAGGTTATAAAGGAAGAAAATATGGCTTCTGTTTGAAATCCTGTAACTCCTTTGTAATAGAGCACAACCTTGTATCAATTGTTTTCAGGCTGCACATCTTTCTACACGCCTTTCACTCTGGACGTGTAGAAATAGTAATCAGCGATCCTGGTTCTGGAAATGTTTGCAGGTTGTTTCATCTGGAAAAGAATCTTTTCCCTGCAATAGAGTGCAGAGAAGGGAGCCATGTAATTAAATAGATAATTACTTCCCAGCAGCAAGGGGTCCATGCAGACTTTCATTCAAATGTCTTTTGGGGGAAAGTATTCTATTTTTACAGTCAATGAATTAGGGGCTAGAAGAGGCAGCGTGTTAATATGCAGTAGTTGATAAGAACCAATTCAAAGCAGATTGTCAGAGTAAACACCTAGTTTTATGAAGTAACTAATTGAAGATCATCTACTGATACACTGTGGTACAAATGTACGATGATTATGTATGTTTACAAGCTTTGTTTGGGCTTTGTTACTTCCCTGTGCTAAGTAATATAACTGAAAGATAAGCAGGATGGGAGTAGCATAGGATGCAGCCCAAGCCAGCCAAACACAACGTTGTTTATGCTGCTGATATAAAAAAACCTTTCCTCGCCTTCTGGCACCTCCGTTGGAAAAGCCCGTGTGGCCATGCGGTGCCTGGAGCTCTCTTCACCCATGGGGCTGTCCCCACGGCTCACCCTGCACGTCACCAGCCCCCCAGTCTTGAGGCAGAGAGCTGGCAGGGATGAGTTCCCTTTGTCCCTTCCTCACACTTCCTCTTCTGGGGCCCAAATGCTGCAAGTTTGGGATTCCCTCCATCGCTCGCCGGTGGTTCCTCCTGCAGCATGGCCAGGGAGTTGACAAAGCTTCTTCCTGCATGAGACTGTGACAGCATCCCACTTCAGTGTTCTTCTCTCCTCACCCCGTGTGGAGGTTGCCTTCATACTTCACCCCATTGTATTGCTGTCTAGCTTTTCCTCTGGTTCTCCCTCCTTGTTGTATGAGGCTGGCTTCCCCTGGCACCTGTCCTGCTCAGGCCCAAACACTGAAGCCTCTTCCCACTGCACTTTCTGTTCTCAGCTCTCCTCTGTTCATTCTTCTCTCCTTTCTATGCTCTATTATTTTTAACTCTTATTTAAGCTCATCCCTTCTCCTGTTACTGGTTGTGTTCCCTTGTGGGTCCCTCTTAGATGCTAATGCAGAACCTGGGCAGTAGTTCAGCTGCAGGAGCTGTACTCTCAAATGCAAGGAGGTTTCTGGACAGTTTTCTAACACCAAGATGCAAAACCTGCTTTGAAGCCAGCTGCATCTTTACATCTCATGCACTAAGAAAGATTTCAGCATGCTGCACGTATTGGTCATCATTTCCACGTGGGCGGGTGGCTGATGGGGAAGATGACCCGAGCAGAGCGTGATGGGAACCATCTGAGGCAAAGAGGATCAGGAGCTGCTGGTGTGGGGGATCCAGCTGGGGGGCGGCCGGGGGGCTCCGGGGAATTTGTGGTGTGTGTGTGGGACTGATTGCCCCTGGCTGCAGGAGCTGAGGAGGCCACTGGGAGTTGTGGGGAGGAAGCAGGAGGGCAGTCAGGACATCCCTCAGAGGTGGAGCAGGAGGAGAGCAAGCTGCAGCGGGGGCATGAGGCTGCTCCAAGCGTGATGTGAAGACTTGTGGTAGCGGCAGAGAAGTTTAGGATATTCAACTGCATGTTGTCAAGAAGCGATGCTGTGTCATAGAAGGGGCCAAGCTGGTGAGCAAGGAAAGCACTGTGTGCACTCATGTGGCTGCCTGCGGGTGACAAGAGGCTGTGGCTTGCTGGGCAGTAGCAAAGCAGAGCAAGAGCAGTTTTGCCCTCAATGGCAAGGGAACTTCTTGTTTGTCTTTCTGAAGTGCAGAGCATGCATTTTTCAAAAGCATATTTCCTCTTGGATTCAGCTTAGGATTTTTCTATTCTGATGCCAGAGCTCTGAATGTTTGGAGTGGGAAGAAAGAAAAAGGGGCGGGAGGGGGAGGTTGGAGGAAGAAGGGTATTTCTAATGGAAATCCTGACGGTCTGAACCACTCTTGCTGTTTGTGGTATAGTGCTTCCTGTAACCTACATGGCCAAATGCCAGCGTGACATCTAATACACGCTTGGCTGCTGAAAGTTCATGCTAAGGGGACTGCTATGTTGGAGCAAGAGGGAGTATGCCAGGGAAGGAAAATGAGTTCAAGTGCTAAATTGCTG